AAAACAAAAATTAGCCAGGCATGGTGGCAGGCGCCTGTAGTCCCAGCTACTCAAGAGGCTAAGGTGGGAGAATCGCTTGAGACTAAGGGGAAGAAGGTTACAGTGAGCCGAGATCACACCATTGCACTCCAACCTGGAAAACAGAGTGAGACTCTATCTCAAAAAAAAAAAAAAAAAATTCAAGCATACATGCTCTAACTTTTTATTAATAATTAAGCTTCTAATTGCAGCTATACCAGTTACCACCTTGGGTACTTAATATCTCTGTGCTTCAGTTTCATTTGTAAAATGGTTCTTACCTAATAGAATCCAGCTAGGGGTGATGGCTCACTTCTGTAATCCCAGCACTTTGGGAGGCTGAGGCAGGTGGATCACCTGAGGTCAGGAGTTCAAAACCAGTCTGGTCAACATGGTGAAACCCCCATCTCTATTAAAAATACAAAATTAGCCAGGCATGATGGCTTACACATGTAATCCCAGCTACTCAGGAGGCTGAGGCAGGAGAATCACTTGAACCCAGGAGGCTGAGGTTGCAGAGAGCTGAAATCATGCCACACTGCACTCCAGCCTGGGAGACAGAGTGAGACTGTCTCAAAAAGAAAAAATATAAGTATGTATGTATTTCCAAGATTGCTAAGGGAAGTAACAAAATGCAGAACAGTATTACAATACACTAACTTTTTGAAAAATAAGGAAATAATATAGTCATGCTGAATAACAGCATTTCAGTCAACAAGCAGCAGACCCATAAGATTATACTACCATATGTGTACTGCTTCTTTTCTGTGTTTCTGCGTTTAGATACACAAATACCACTGTGCAGTATTCAGAACGGTAACAAGCCACAGTTTTGTAGTCTAGGATCAATCGGCTATACCCTATAGCCTAGGCACGTAGTAGGCTATAGCACCTAGGTTTATGTAAGTAAACTCTGTGATGTTCGTACTACAAAATCACTTAATGACGCATTGCTGAGAGCATATCCCCATCTTTAAGCAGTTCCTGGCTGTACTGCTAAGTACTGGCATGCATATGCATAAAGAAACTCTAGGCCAGGCGCCATGGCTCACCCCTGTAATCCCAGCACTTTGGGAGGCTGAGGCAGGCAGATCACTTGCAGTCAGGAGTTTGAAACCAGCCTGGCCAACAGGGCAAAACTCTGTATCTACTAAAAATACAAAAATTAGGCAGGCATGGTGGTCTGTGCCTGTAGTCCCAGCTACTTGGGAGGCTGAGATAGGAGAATCACTTGAATCTGGGAGGCAGAGGTTGCAGTGAGCCGAGATTTCACCACTGCACTCCAGGCTGGGTGACAGGGAGACTCCATCTCAAAAAAAAAAGAAAAAGAAAAAGAAAAAAGAAACTCTAGAAAAATACACAGGGAATCAATAATGGTTGTTAGAGTTTGAGGTTTGACAACAAAGCAACAGGAACAGGAGCTGGGAGGAGCTTATCCCTAGGCACCCTCTGTATGCTTTTCTATTTATTTTTGAGACAAAGTTTTGCTTTGTTGCCCAGGCTGGAGTGCAGTGGCATGATCTCGGCTCACTGCAACCTCTGCCTCCCGGGTTCAGGCAATTCTCATGCCTCAGCCTCCCAAGTAGCTGGGACTACAGGTATATGCCACATGCCCAACTAATTTTTGTGTTTTTTGTAGACACAGGGTTTCACCATGTTGGCCAGGCTAGTCTCGAATGCCTTACCTCAAGTGATCCACCCACCTTAGCCACCCAAAGTGCTGGGATTACAGGTGTGAGCCACCATGCCCAGCCTATGCTTTTCTATTTTTAAACCATGGATGTGTGTGTGTTACCTATTCAACAATTAAACCAGCTGCTATAAACTGAAAGTTTATGTCCGCCCCCCAAATGGATATGTTGAAGCCTAATCCTCAAGGGGAGGAGACTAGGAGGAGGTTGGGCTATGGGGAAGTGATTATGTCATGAAGGTGAAGCCTTCATGAGTGGGGTCAGTGTTGTTTTAGAAGAGACTCCAGGCCAGGCAAAGTGACTGGATCACCTGAGGTCAGGAGTTTGAGATCAGCGTGGCCAATATGTGAAACCCCTTCTCTACTGAAAATACAAAAATTAGCCAGGCATGGTGATGCGTGCCTGTAATCCCAGCTATTCAGGAGGCTGAAGCAGGAGAATTGCTTGAACCCGGGAGGTGGAGGTTGCAGTGAGCTGAGATAGCACCACTGCCCTCCAGCCTGGGCAATGGAGTCTCAAAAAATAAAATAATAAAAGAGACCCCAGAAAACTCCTTCACCTCTTCTGCTGTGTGAGGTTATAGCCAGAAGACAGCCATCCACGAACAAGGAAGCAGGCCCTCTGCAGATACTGAATATGCCTGTGCCTTGATCTTCGACTTCCCAGGCCTCAGAATTGTTTTTTTTATTGTTGCTGCTTTTTGAGACACAGTCTCACTCTGTCACCCAGGCTGGAGTGCAATGACACAATCTCGGCTCACTGCAACCTCCGCCTCCCAGGTTCAAGTGAGTCTCCTACCTCAGCCCCTCCTGAGTAGCTGGGATTGCAGGCACGTGCCACCATGCCACGCTAATTTTTGTATTTTTAGTAGAGACAGGGTTTCATCATGTTGGCCAGGCTGGTCTCAAACTCCTGAACTTAGGTGATCTGCCCACCTCTGCCTCCCAGAGTTCTGGGATGGAATACAGGTGTGAGCCACCTCGCCCAACCATGTTCTTCAGTGGTGATTTGTGAGATTTTGATGCACCCATCACCAAAACAGTATACACAGAACCTAATTCGTAGTCTTTTATCTCTCACTCCCTTGTCACACTATCCCCCCCTAGTCCCCAAAATCTGTCGTATCATTATTATGCGTTTGCATCCTCATAAGTTAGCTCCCATATACAAATGAGAGTATAAGATATGTGGTTTTCCATTCCAGAGTTACTTCACTTAGAATAATAGTTTCCAATAACATCCAGGTTACTGTGAATGCCATTAATTCATTCCTTTTCATGGCTGAGTAGTATCCTTCATATATATATACACACCACACTTTCTTATTTATTTATTTAAAGATGGGGTTTCACCATGTTGGTTAGGCTGGTCTTGAACTCCCGACGTCAGGTGATCCACCCGCCTTGGCCTCCAAAGTGCTTGGATTACAGGCGTGAGCCACCACACCCGGCCACCACACTTTCTTTATGCACTCATTTATTTATGGCCCAGCTCCCAGAATGGTGAGAAATAAATTTCTACTTTTTATAAGCTACCCAGCCTATGGCAATTTGTAACAGCAGCCTGAATGGACTAAGACATTTAACAAAAATAAAAAACTTATAAATTATGTTTCTTCCATTGAAAATGATATACATTTGCTATAACTGAATCTTGGCACATTTAATGTCAGAAATGATGGGGAAAGAGGTGAAGAGAAAATAAAGGATCTTTTTTATTACTGTTACTGAGGAATGCATTAATGAAATGCAGCCATTTTTAATGTATGGTTTTCTGATTTTTTTTTTTTTTTTTTTTGAGACGGAGTTTCACTCTTGTCCAGGCTGGAGTGCAATGGCACAATCTCGGCTCACTGCAACCTCTGCCTGCCCAGTTCAAGCGATTCTCCTACCCCAGCCTCCTGAGTAGCTGGGATTACAGGCATGCACCACCACATCTGGATCATTTTTTATATTTTTAGTAGAGATGGGGTTTCTCCATGTTGCTCAGGCTGGTCTCAAACTCCTGACCTCTGGTGATTTGCCCACCTTGGCCTCCCAAAGTGCTGGGATTACATGAGCCACTGCACCCAGCTGGTTTTCTATTTTGACAAATGTAAAATATCCATGTCACCACTACTATAATCAAGATATAGAATGTTGGGCTGGGTGTGGTGGCTCCCAACACTTTGGGAGGCTGAGGCAGGTGGATCACCTGAGGTCAAGGGTTTGAGATCACCCTGACCAATATAGTGAAACCCGGCCTCTACTAAAAATACAAAAATTAGCCTGGCGTGGTGGTGTAAACCTGTAATCCCAGCTACTCAGGAGGCTAAGGCAGGAGAATCACCTGAACCCAGGAGGCAGAGGTTGCAGTGAGCCACAATCAGGCCCCTGAACTCCAGCCTGGGCAGCAGAGCAAAATGGGTCTCAAAAATGAAATAAAAAGAAAATAAATAGATGACATAAAATTATTACAATTATTTGTTTGAATTGAATAAATAATGTTGTCTGTATTACTCTTCTACGAATTAGTCAATACCATTCAATCTCAACTGCTATCACTATTGAAATGGTCTCAAAAATAAACTGCCCTTTCAAAAATCAAGCATATAGAAAAGGAAAAATCTACATTGATTTTAAAAATATAGCTGCCCTCATCTGAAAACGACTTTATCTTAAATTTCCTAATACGACCAGGGGCTGGCTGCGATTCACCATAGCTTCCAAAAAGACTGGAGAGTGTCTTTCCAGAATAACTAGTATGTTTGCTTCAAGACAAATTATTTTTCAAGGTTTAGAGAAAGATGTGAAAACTAGATAATCCATTAATAATCTTTTTTTGGCCGGGCGTGGTGGCTCACGCCTATAATCCCAACACTTTGGGAGGCCGAGGCGGGTGGATCATGAAGTCAAGAGATCGAGACCATCCTGGTCAACATGGTGAAACCCCATCTCTACTAAAAATACTAAAAAATTAGCTGGGCGTGGTGGTGCGTGCCTGTAATCCCAGCTACTTGGGAGGCTGAGGCAGGAAAATTGCTTGAACCCAGGAGGCAGAGGTTGCGGTGAGCTGAGATCGTGCCATTGCACTCCAGCCTGGGTAACGAGTGAAACTCCGTCTCAAAAAAAAAAAAAAAGAATCTTTTTTTAAAACTCCAAAGCATTTTATTTATACTTCTTAGCTTACTTTTTTGTTACCCATACATATTAAGAACTTTTAAAAGTCCAAATTAAAGAAGCATGCCTAGATGTCATTAAAATAGCTATCAATGCCCACAACAGTCCTGTAGTTCAAATACTTTACTTTAGAATGTCAAAATTGATTTTGTAGTAGTCAGGACAGGCTAAACATTTGCTGTGTTAAGACCATGCATGTGTCCGTAGATGTAGTTCTTTCCCTAGGTCTGGTTTTATAAATACTGATGATAAACCAGGTCTGATTTATTATATGATCATTTTGTGTGATTATGTAATGGCGGTGATTCTAGGTTATCTTTCGTCAACCTTAAGAAAAATGGCAGTACGACTAATGTAATAACTTTTGCAAAAGATCGGTGATAATTTGCAGACTTTTACTTAAGGTATAAAAAAATAAGAAAAATTTCATGATTATCAGCTGCTATTAAATTAATGATAAAGTATTTTTTAAAAAAAATAATGTCCAGGCTGGGCATGGAGGCTCATGCCTATAATCCCAGTACTTTGGGAGGCTGAGGTGGGCAGATCACTTATGGTCAGGAGTTCGAGACCAGCCTGGCCAACCTGGTGAAACCCTGTCTGTACTAAAAATACAAAAATTAGCTGGGTATGGTGGCGCACACCTGTAATCTCAGCTACTCATGAGGCTGAAGCAGGAGAATCACTTGAACCTGGGAGGCAGAGGTTGCAGTGAGCTGAGATCGAGACACTGCACTCCAGCCTGGGTAACAGAGCATAACTCCATCTCAAAAATAAAAAAAAGTAGGTCCAAATCCACATTTTTTCAAACTCTGCATTTTTCTTTCTTTCTTTTATTTATTTATATTTTAATTTTTTTCAAGACAAAGTCTCACTCTGTCACACAAGCTGGAGTGCAGTGCCGCAATCTTGGCTCACTGAAACCTCAACCTCCTAGGCCCAAGCGATTTTCCCACCTCAGCCTCACCAGTAGTTGGGACCACAGGCATGGGCCAGCACACCGAGCTGATTTTTGTATTTTTTGTAGCAGTGGGCTTTCGCTGTGTTGCCCAGGCTTGTCCCAAACTCCTGCCCTCAAGCGATCCTCCTACCTTGGCCTCCCCAAGTGCTGAGACTATGGACGTGAGCTCCAGCACCCAGACTGCTTCTGGTCTGGTGTGCCAGTTCACACACGCCTGCGATAGCAACTGCGTTCTGAACTGCAGGGAGGCATTTACTTGTCAGCACCTGAAACCGTCCTCCTCAGTTGAGTCCAATTATCAGCTTCATGTGCCATCTGCCAATACAAAGCTGTCCTTTTCCTGGTGACGCTCCCCACCTTCTTTTTCCTCCACCATGTCATTAACAACTAAAAAGCACCTGCATGATCAGACCTGTGTATCCATCCATCATCAAATCCTACTCCTTTTTCAACATTGGGACACTCCCGAGGCTGTCCCAGCCTACAGACAGTACCCTTGGCCCCTTGGCACTGGGCTCTGATCAGCCTTCAGGCCTCCACTCCAGGTGTCCCTGCTCAGTCTCACTTCTGCTCTCAGAGCCTCCTCGACAGGCACCTCAGCCACGCTGGCCCTCTGTCTCAGAAGTGAATGTGCCAAGTGGGTCTTAGGGATTTATTAATAAGGCTCCTGGGGCCGGATGCAGTAGCTCATGCCTGTGATCCTAATATTTTGAGATCACTTGAGCCCAAGAGTTCGAGACCAGCTTGGGCAACAAGGTGAGGCCCCATCTCTACCAAAAATTCAAAAAGGCTGCCAGGCATGATGGTACAAGGCTGCCAGGCGTGATGGTACACACCTGCGATCCCAGCTCCTCAGGAGGCTGACGTGGGAAGATGGCTTAAACCCAGGTGAAGGCTGAAGTGAGACATGAGGCCACCACTACACTGCAGCCTAGGCAACAAAACAAGACTGTCTCAAAAAAAAAAAAAACCAAAACCACTATAACCATAATACTATTATCACACTTAAGAAATTGATAATTCTTGGCAAGGCAAGGTGGCTCATGCCTATAATCCCAGCACTTTGGGAGACTGAGGCTGGCAGATCACCTGAGGTCCGGAGTTCAAGACCAGCCTGCCCAACATGGAAAAACCCTGTCTCTACTAAAAATCCAAAATTCGCTGAGTGTGCTGGCACATGCCTATAATCCCAGCTACTTGGAAGGCTGAGGCAGGAGAATTGCTTGAACCCGGGAGGCAGAGGTTGCGGTCATGAGTCAAGATTGCGCCATTGTACTCCAGCATGGGCAACAAGAGGGAAACTCCATCTTAAAAAAAAAGAAATTGATTTTTAAAAATATCTTCACATATCCAATTGATACTTGAGTTCAATTATTTCATGTCAATGTTTTTAAACTTTGACTATTTCAATCAGAATCTAAATGAAGTTAACGCATTGCAATTGGTTGGTGTGTCTTTTAAACTCCTTTTAATCTATAGCTTTCTCTTCTTTTTTCCTTGAATTTTATTTATTAGCGAACCCAGACATTGTCCTATATAGTCTCCCAGAGCTGGATCTTGCTGGTTTCATCCCATGGCCTAGTTTAACGCATCTCTCTGTCCTTTCTATTTTTTTCCTTTCCTTTTTTTTTGTTTTTGTTTTTGTTTTGTTTTTTTCTTAAGACAGTCTTGGTCTATAGCCCAGGCTGGAGTGCAGTGGCGTGATCTCACTGCAACCTCCGCCTCCTGGGTTCAAGCTATTCTTCTGCTTCAGCCTCCTGAGTAGCTGGGATTACAGCCGTTCATCACCTTGCCCAGCTAATTTTTGTATTTTTGATAGCGACGGGGTTTCACCATGCTGGTCAGGCTGGTCTCCAACTCCTGACATCAGGTTATCCACCCTCCTCGGCCTTCCAAAGTGCTGGGATTACAGGTGTGAGGCACCACACCCGGCCAAATGTCCTTTCTATTTCTACAAACTGGCAGTCAGATCCAGGGGCTTGATCAGATTTGCGTGTGCATGGCCTGTGTGCTTGCACAGCACTTTCTTTGATTAGGAGGCACACCTGATTTGGTTATCTTCTTTTTATAATCTTTAAGTTGCTCTTTTGATGTACATGTGGTAACTAATGTTGAAACAAAATTGTTTCGTTTCAAAACCTTTCTTTCAGGAAGAGGTTGTGGTTGCTGACTTAGGCGACAGGCAGATGCAAGGTTGAGCAATCATCTCTTAACTGGTCACACTAGAATAATTCAAGCACAACAACAAATCCCATATCATCTCCCCCTCTTAAAAATGGCCGGGCGCGGTGGCTCAAGCCTGTAATCCCAGCACTTCGGGAGGCCGAGACGCGTGGATCACCTGAGGTTAGGAGTTCAAGACCAGCCTGGCCAACATGGTGAAACCCTGTCTTTAAAAAAAATACAAAAAATTAGCTGGGCACGGTGGCGCACCTGTAATCCCAGCTACTCGGGAGGCTGAGGCAGGAGAATCGCCTGAACCCAGGAGGCGGAGGTTGCGGTGAGCCGAGATCGCGCCATTGCACTCCAGCCTGGGTAACAAGAGAAACTCCGTCTCAAAAAAAAAAAAGGTGTTTTCTTTTTACTTGATTAGTTCTTGTTACCCGAGGTATTATTTCCAGAAGGCAGCGAAAAATGACTCAAGGGCTCATGTGCTTTTTAAAATTAAACAAGACGTAGGCCAGCTGCCATTAAGAGTGGCCCTCACGCCTGCAGACGGTGTGACCCGGCGGCCGTGCCGGGGGCTCCGCTCGCGGAGGCGCTGAAGCAGCTGCTTATGTCACTTGAGACCTTGCCTTCCTTTTTCATCTTCCCCGGGCTCCGGCGAGGCAGGCCGCAGGGGCGGGCACTCGCAAGACCGCAGCATCCGGGCTGGTGGCCGAGTCACCGGACCTCAGAACCCAGCCCAGAGTAGAGCAGCGCCGGGGCCGGGGAGAGCCCCGCGCCCTCCACCCAGCGAGGCGGGCGGGCCGGGAGGGGCGGGGCCTCGGGACTCCGCCCCCGTCCCCGCCTCCGAGTCCTCACGCTCCGCCCCCGTCCCCGCCTCCGAGTCCTCACGCTCCGCCCCCGTCCCGCCTCCGAGTCCTCACGCTCCGCCCCCGTCCCCGCCTCCGAGTCCTCACGCTCCGCCCCCGTCCCCGCCTCCGAGTCCTCACGCTCCGCCGCCGGCCGCCACCACACGAGTCGGGAGCCGCAGACGCCTCGAAGGAGCCGGCCGGGAGCGAGAGCCGAGAGCGGGTCCGAGAGCCGCCGCCGCCGCCGCCGCCGCCATGGGGAGCCGCGTCTCGCGGGAAGACTTCGAGTGGGTCTACACCGACCAGCCCCACGCCGACCGGCGCCGGGAGATCCTGGGTGAGGGCCAGCGGGCGCCCCGTTATGTGTGCGCGGCCTCCCGCGCGGGCTCTGCGCGACCGTGAGCTCCCGAGGCCCGTTAGCTCGCTCCCCGCAAGGTCCCGCCGCCGTCCGGGCCTCCAGCCTGCGGGTCCTCGCGGGACAGGCCTGAGCGGGGCGCGGGGGAGGGACGGGTCCCGGGGGCGCGCAGCTCCTACCCTTCCGCGAACAGGCGCAGGCGCGTCCCCGAGCGGGGGAGTCCCCGCCAGGCCCACGCCGGCCGCTGAGGACCAAAGGCGCCCCCGGCTGCGCCACCTTTGGGTACATCCCCTCACTAGAAGGTTCTTATGCCCTCGGGTGGGCGCCCCTTCCTGTGCCTTCTCCCGCCCCTCCCGAGCGGGCCGGGGCAAGCGGGTAGGGTGTGGTCCTGGGCATCCCGGGGCCTACTCGCCAGCCCTGCTCTCGGGGTCCGGCGCCGGCTGGCAGTCCTGGCGGGGGCGGCCGCAGTCCCGGCCTCAGGCCCTGGAGGAGGCCGGCGCCCCCCCCGGCCCCCACCCTGCCGCCCCCTGCCCCCCCGCCGCCCCCTGCCCCCCTGCCCCCCCGCCGCCCCCTGACCCCCCCACCCTGCCCCCCCCGCCGCCCCCGCCCCCGCCCCGGGATTCTCGGACTGCATGGGCCCTGGTCGGTTCACGCCGCTTGTTCGATTGATCCTCACGACGATTCTGGGACGTAAAAACGGCAGATTCGTAGATAGTTTTCGTCCATCTCGGTTTTGTGGATGAAAAGACTGGAAACGAAGACTTGCCAAACAGGGAAAATGCCCGCTGGTCCCCTGACAGCTGACTTAGAGCACGGAACTCTCCGGAGGATCCGGGCCTTCTGTGTCACTTCGAGAACGCTCGTCTCTCCCAGGCTGTTCCTAATGATCTGCCAGGGATCGTGTGGGATGCTTTACAAGCATTA